TTTGTCTTTTAGTATCCAACAATAAATATAGGTGGAAAATACAAAACTATATCGTAGGTATACATTATATTACAGCAAAGTATATTTGGGTCAATTTTATCTTTTAATGTTTTTTTTTATCGCTGCTCAGATATGCGGTCTACATGTATGTTTGTAGACCGCGTCCCATCGGTAGACCGCATATCCGAGCAGCACCCATTATTGTAGCACTACGGAAAAGTTAATAATATTAATCTAATTTACTGCAGCAGCCCGCGGCCGTATGGCCTCCTACGAATGATATGGTACGGCAGTCGGCGGTCAAAAAATTATCAATACCTAATTATTTTTATAAGCGGCCGCATGGCAGTCAACATGTTAATAATTATATACTATTATGTAATGGAAAAAAAAAATTTTTCTTAACTCAGTAATTTTATTTTTTTGTTTTTGCTCTTTGTTATTTTGAACCAACAATTCAAACTTTCGATAATTTAACAGTCCCATCAACTTAGTATTTTCAAGAGTCGGTTKTACTTATATTAGTCAAGTCAGAATACACCAATTTAATTTAAAAATTAATTAATTATACCCTTATGTTAAGTGCTAAGATTTGTTGAGATATATGTATGTATTATAATAATGTATGTAGTTAGGAGTATGTATATCAGAAAAAGCAAGTTTAATATTAAAAAGCATATTGAAACAAATTGGAGAAGATCTTTTAAAAAATGTTGATGTCTTAAACAAATTGGATCAAGAAATCGGAGATGGTGACAATGGTTCGACTATTTCACGGTTTGCTTCTGGTAAATTACTATGATTACAAATTTAAAAATCTTTAAAGATTAAAATTGATTTATAATTTAGAATTGCTTACCATTCTAAATAAACTGCCATTAAACTACCCAGCCAGTGTTTTATATTCTTTGGCATTCATCTGTGAAGACAAAATGGGTGGTGCCTCTGGGGCTCTTTATAGTTTGTTGTTGACTGGAGCTGCAGGGCATTTAGCTTCAATGGACTTTTTAGACTGGACTGGAGCATTGAAAAATGCACTAGATACATCTATGAAATATTCAAGTGCAAGAAAAGGAGATAAAACCATGGTGCCTATTATATATTATATAATGTTACTTGTAAATTGTACCTATTAATTGTCTCATATTAGAGTAACCCCTGACTATGACCAATTTTCATAAGGTTTGGTCTTACGACAGTAATGCAGTATTATAGTGTATACCATAACCTATGGATAAATTGGTTTTAGTCAACTTTTGTTTCCAACAATCAGCTGAGACCTGATTAGAAGAGATTAGCCGTTTATATTAACAAAATGTAAGGTAACCGATTATTGGTGTAATAAAGTGTCACTCTCGAGAGCGTTAGACCAGGTATAGATTAGTCGCATCTATTGCAGCCACCATGCATAGAAATCTGCTAACTGAGGATACCCTTATATGAGACAAAGTATATATTTATTTTAATTTAATGATATAATTTTTCAGTTTGATCCAATAATTGCGATTTATCAAGTATTTCAGAAATATGGAAACTTAAATGCTAAGAACTATACAACTGTTTTAGAAAAAGCATTACAGCATGTGCAAGATGTTTGCAATGATGTAAAACAAATGAAAGCAGAGTTAGTTGAAAAAGTCTTAGGCTTTTGTGTACCTAAATGATATAAATTTAATGTTGTTATTAATGTTATAGATTTGGTAAAGCTTCTTATGTAGAAAGTGTTACTTCTGTTGGTAAAATGGWTGCTGGAGCTTATGGTGTAGCTTTATGGTTTAATGCCATACATACTGCTTATAAAGATACATCAAAATAAATATTATTTCGAAATGATAATTAATTTGAGTAGTTGTTACGTATTAGAAAAGTTTTACTATTAAATGTATAAAAAATGATATTTAAGTAAAATAATGCATATATTTAAAAGTTGGTGTAATTTTAATTTGTAAAAAACTAATTTACAACAAATAATAAAAATGCAACAATTAATTGATCTTAATGATTTTATTTTTATTCGATAAATATAAATTAATTAAAGTAGTTAATATATTTATTTATTAAAATGATTCATAAATATAATCATGGTAGTTAAACTGCAAGCATTAATTATGTATCCGATTATTAATTCATATTTCAACAGTAAAAATATATTCTTTACAGATATAAATACCTAGTTAAAAGTAATCTAATATGCCAACTAAAAAAATATTAATAGTAACTTAAAAATATAACAAGYAAAAAAAAAAATTCAGATTCAAGATTTAATGGTATATAGTAGGTAAATCATAATCCTTAGCATGTACCTACTACCTTATTACATAGTTTAAATTTTCTTCTGCCACATCTTACATTATTGTAATACAGTACAATCGAGTAAAAAATACACAAATAGGTAGGTATTAGATAATTATATCTTTAGATTAAATACAAAATATTATAAATTATTACCCAATATTGGCTTAACTATTGAAAAAAAAATATATAGGAAAAGGAACTTAAATTATATTACCTACTTTTAAAAATAGTAGATAATTATTTGAAGGTTACTAATATTTTAGATACAGAAATTATGTTATGGACAATTTAATTAAACACATAATTGAATTTTATTGTATGTATTTATAACAAATTATTAGTCTAGGTATATTAATCCTAAAAATGTTAAATACATAAAAAATATTCAAAAATAAAATATGAAGTCATTGGCATTTGTTTATATTCTTTAATTTAATAACTGAAAATGTA